TCTCTCTCTCTCTCTCTCTCTCTCTCTCTCTCTCTCTCTCTCTCTCTCTTTCAGCACCCCACTTTCTCTGTCTTATTAACGTCTGCGTTCTATATCCTCTCTTGTTTGCTCCAAGGCAGTTGAGACACTGCAGCGATGGGGGTGGAGGGCGTGTATATATATGTGCGTGTGTTTGAGTGTGTCAGAGACAGAGAGGCAGAGAGAGGGAGTGCAGGACAGAAATGGAGGGAGGAGTCAGCAGGGATAGAGAGAGAAGGGGGAAATGGTCAGGATTAAATCATGAGAGTAACAGACAGACAGAGAGAAAAAAACAGGCTTTGATGGGGTAGCTACAGCACCGTATCTTTATTTCATGCTATAATGATAAAATATACATTTGCCTTTAAGAAATCTGAGCCCCTCCGGCTGGAATGGAGATGATACAGTGAGTAGATCTGTTTCTTGAGCTATTATATTTGCTGACAGACCAGCAGCAGGATTGGTTGTGTTTCATTGATGACTGAAAAAACATACAAGATAGGAAGAGAGGGAGGAGGAGGAGGAGGAGGAGGAGGAGGAGGAGGAGGAGGAGGAGGAAGGGACTGGAGAGGAGAGGAAGAGAGGGGAGGGGAGAAATGACGACAAAGGAATGGGAGGGGGATTGGACGATGGTGTAATGTGCTGTTTCCGTGCCAACTGTTTCTGTGACAGTAGGACCACTTCCTTTATTGCTATTGGCTATAACCAAGAATTGATAGAGGCTTGGACAAATGAGGCAGCATGCCATGGGGTGTGAATGGGTGGTGGTTTTTTATTTTTATTTTATTTATTATTTATTCTTGTTCATCTCTGGTTTTGCTTGACTGCAGCCACAGAGAACACATGCACGCATGAACACATGGAAACATAATGATCGCAGCGCTGGAGCATGATGTGAGTTATTGCTTTGTCATTATGGATGCCACCAGTGTGTAAAAAGACTCCTCCCTTCCTCCTGACACACACACAAACACACTGTACAACAGCGGGAAAAATCCCCCAGATCGGGTTGCTCAGGGTGTGTAGTGTGATGAAATTGCCTGGACATCAACCCTGGTGTCATGAACTGTGAGATAATTAATGGGCAAACTGCCAAAGGAAGCGCACATCTGGTGGGGGTGAGCAACTTTGCCTCTGACTGAACTTTCATCTGGCCCTTGTAATCCGGTCTGGGAGGCAGGTGGTGTAATTGTCCTCATTCTTTCTCCCTGTCACTTTCTCCCTCACTGTAATCATCAATTACCGTAAACAGACGCTCAATCTCAACGTACAGTCGCTTCCTCTTTCGTGGCCATTTAAAATTTGCAGAAATGTATCGGCTCTCGGTTTCGGCTTGGGAAGTGAACTCTCGATACTTCCAAAAATGAGTTACAGAAACCTGCAGACAATAGTGTATAATGTAAGTCAGGTGCATGAAACTGCCATCTGCCACAAAACCGCACTGGGATGTCCCTACGTATCCATTTCAGTCACATTAAAACACATCTGACAGGTGCCTGTTCCGAGTAGATGTCAGGTACTCAACAGCCTTGATTGTAAACTAGGTTGTTTCCACTTGGGCTCAGCGGCTGTTGTTTTACCTTCGAAATATCAAACCTGTGACGATCCACCTGACCACATCACACGGGAGATAAGTCTCGGGGTGGATAGAAACATTACGTATGTTGTTGATGTTTTTGAACATGAAATGTCTCAATCAGTGCTGAATGAGAAGATCTATTAGGCTGATAGAAATACAAAGTAAGAATCGGTCAAGTTCCTGATGGTCACAAGCAATGATAATCTGTCATTTTGCCATTTAACCACTTGGCCTCCTAAAAGGTTCTTAACCACTTCTTGGCTTTTTAGTAGCTAGCTCACCGGCTTATTTTTGGTCTCCTATCATTTTAAAGCTGCTATTGTCCACTGAAAAACACTTTTATAACAATCACAGGCCTCCTTTTTTGCTATAGAATGACTCAATGTAAGTACGTCATTTTTAACAACTAGCCTCACAAGTAAGACTCTAGTGGCAACGTATCAAGCAACAGTTACCCTATATACCCTTGGATGTGATTGGTTCAGTCTTTGCTTCCATCATCTAAAAGCTATTTATAAAATAACATTTTTTTTTTGTCATTTGGAGACCTTAAAAAAATCACACATGCCTTTGTATTTTTTTTACATTTAGATTATTCCTGTTTGCAAAACCGCAGCAGCTGTTCACCAAATGAGGAACAAAAGATCTTATCCCCCCCCCCCCCCGTTAAGCAGTTCTACACTGGTTGCCTTTTAGCTTTAGAAATGATTTCTACATTTCACTATTAAAGCACAGCAGGCTTTGTCAGACTTAACACTTCATGAGCTGCAGCACAGCTCGGTCCTCTGGGAGAGAGCTTGGTTTGTAACAGAAGGTGACTGAGCTCGCACAATGTCCAGCGTGAAAAACTAAAGCTGCGTTGTCTTTTAAATCACTTCAAAAGACGTGTTTTACAGAAAACACTTTTATTGTATTTGTTTGACTGTGTTTCTTGTTCCTCTCATTAGTGGACTGATTTATTTCTTCACTGACTTTTTCTTTAGTTTCCCAAGGTGTTCTCTGCCAGCGCCTAATGACCCCTTCAACATTTTTCCATCCCTTTCACTCCCCATAAACCTCACTATCCATTTTTTGTCTCTCCAGATTGTCTCTGTGCCTCTCCCAGCTTCCTGTCTCCCTAATCCTTAATCCTGTGGAAATCGGTCAGGCAGAATGAGCCAGCTTTGATCAGGCTCTCATATCAGGCGTGATAACAGTGTCAGCACACCCGGATCCCACAGAACCCTGGAGCCCAGGGGGAGAGCTTCAAACAGGCGTTCACCCCTTGACTCTGCTTGAGAGGAAGGGGAGGCTGCAGAGTTCCTGACTCAACCGCAAGATACAGATTCTGTCATCAGTCTCTCTTTCTTTTAATTTAGCAAACCTCATGATTGAACACCATTTATCTGTGATGGCACTTTTGCTTTCAGATAGGCTTATTCTGCACGACTTAAACTTGCTGTGGGAAAAGAGCCAGAGTAACACCATTTGAGGCTCAGAACCGTGTGCAGCACAGGGATGTGAAAGTCACTTCTGCATTTATCAGCGGTGTCCTTGACAGTAATCATGCGATCTGTCACTGGTGTTTCGGTATTGTGATCCACAGCAAGGGATGATACCTGCCTGAGTGGGAGGCATGTCACAAAACACATGGCGAACTTGTGGCACAAATGCATCACGCAGGAAAATTAGCTTTTCTTAAACGTTAGCATTGCACACAGCGTCTAACAACGTCCGAACAAAATACACAAACTGATTTGTGCCAAACGCGATTTGTGCTTGATCCCACATTTGAATCCAAACATCCTACCCTGAAGACATGTTTGTAATGATCACTGCAATACAATAACTCAAACAAACCTGCTGCTTTCCCTTCAGGTAAGTGTTTGAAGGTGGAACCATTTGTAAAAAGAGGTATTTATTGGTATTGATGCTATAAAGTGTAAGAGTAAGTAACAATGCAAATATCATTGCATTCTCTGAGTAATTCATTGTCTCTAAACTTTGCATAGGTGGTGCAGATATTCTTAGTGGAAAGGTTATCCTACATTGTTAGATTTGGATCTTGATAAAGAGTAATTCACTATACGTACTTGCAGAACCAACAGAAACTGTACATAGAGGTTTTTGCTATACTCACAATCACATGACCTGGAAGTTGGAACTCTCTGCAGATCTACAACAATACTGGCAGCGCACTCAGGCTCCTCATTAAATCAGTTTAGAAGTGTTGGCTAATCAGGTAGACAACTGAAGCATCCAGCATGGCCAGTCTGTATAAAGTGCAACATGTAATATGTTGAATGGGCTCCATTCCTCAACTGAAGACGAAAGAGGGCAAACTCTGAAAATATCTGTGTTCATAACTCTGTTCTATAAAATGTAAATTTTGCAAACAAGACATCGCCCTGTACTTCAAAGTAATGGATGTGCTACCTGCATCAGTTACAGCCCCAAATAGTGGTTCATAAAAAGATGAACATGGGAACATGGCAAGGAGAGTACAGTTCTGTAAGTGGAAACAAACTGTTGAAGAATGCGCCTACCCTTTTTCTGTACAACTCTACCTTTGCATGACTTGTTGTGGTCTGCCCCTCTGTGTCGCTTGTCCACCTTCCTCAAAGTAAAGGCTGACATCTACCGGCCAAACTGATGTACTACACTGGTATGATGGAAGATTTTGTATTTGGATCCATTTTTTGGGGTATTGAGCACAAAACATTGTTAAGAAAAATGTGATTTATATAAATTAGAAATTATTGAATTGATTTGAATGTTTAAGACAAATCACGATCAATTCAACCTCACATTAAGAAATAACTAACCTGAATTTGAAAGTGAAAGACACAGTATACGCCCAGTTTGTGCCAGATGTAGTATTCAAATTGTTTAAGTAGCTCGTGTATTTACTTAATAAGAGCTACACCTCTTGGCTAATCTTGAGTACTCACACAGCAGTGACCCAGCAAATGTACTCATATCTACGGCGTTTTATTTACACTTACATGCACCTATCTGTAGCCATTATGCAGCTGCCATCCATACGAAGAAAAATGTAGTTTTAAAAATAAATGACAGCCACTTGAAGCCTGTAATTGAAACATCATGTCAGAAATCAAGAATGAATTAACAATATTTACACTAGCCCTTATTGTTCTTTGTACAGTTGGAGCAAACCTCTGCTCTTCAGTATTTGCTTTAGACGATCAGCTGATGTTCAGACTATCAGTGATTTGTGGATGCCTGTAATCTAACTCTTACTTCTATGAACAGCTTTTGGATCCAAATAAGTTTTTTGTTCACAGCCTCAATAAATACACCCCTGGCATCTTTGATATTCTGCTCTTTGCGAGTTGTGACTTCTAAGAAGGTAAATAAGGACTTTTTATAATAGATATTATCAACAGAGAACCGTGTTCTTCTCATATGATCTACTTACCCAACAACATGGTTATCATGTGCATTAAATTACATAATTTAGGCATCCTGTCATATCTTAAGTTAGTATTAACTACATACACTAGTTGTTATGAACGTCCCTCTTCAAAACCCCAGAACATAGCTGTTGTTTGGCTTTAGGCTCAGAGAGATGGACACTAAATATAACTAATTGAGTTTTGTGTCCCAGGGTAGCTAAGTGCAGCTCGTGGATGCTGCAGAAAGAAAAACCTTCCTTGCCATTGAATGAATAAACATTTTGGTCTATACTGCTGCTCTGTCTTGTGAATATAAGGTGCTGAGAACAGAATGCACATAATCTGTAAGAAAATCAGCTCTTTGCAGGCTTTGGTAATCCCCACACTCTTTGGCTAGAGGGAATCCCGTTGACCCCATTCTAAACCCTAATGCCATCTTTATCTAAGGAAAGACACTGTCTGGTCTGGCATCATCTAAGCTCTTACAGGAAAGTTTCCTATTGTCAAGTATGATGATTAAATCCACTGTGCTGGAATCAGTGTGTAAAATGTGTCTCAGATCAATACACATATTTAACAGTGGAGATGATAGAAAGGAAAAAGAACAAGGATTGTCTGCACTTTGTCTTTGTGATCTTAACTTAATCAGGACAGGAAATTAAAAGGTTTGCAATGTTATGGCCTGCAGCCGTGTAATGGTCGACTTTCAATGAGGCGAAAATGATTGCACGTGATTTATAGCATGCTCACGGGTTCACATGGATGGTTAATTTCACAGAACAGTTATAATAGACATTGACAGTAAGCTGTGTCTACACCACACATGGCTGTAGAAATTAGGTTCTTTATTTGTCTGTTATAAAAACACTACAGGATCGTGCTCCAGTACGTCCAAGCACACATCACTGTGTCTTTATGCTTCTTTTTTAATAATACAACATTGTTTTTGTTTAACACAATAAAGTAAGTGAATGTTGTTTGATTTACATAGAATAGAACCAGTGTGAACTCTCGGGCCAGCATGTTGCTGATGTACACTTTTATGTTCCATCAATCCATGCGTGCATCTGAGAATTAGTTTGTGTATTCATTCATTTAAAGCAAGATATTTCAATAGCTACTACCCCCATGACCTTAAAATTGTCCAATGCCACTTTTATATCAAAATTTCCACCTGACCAACCATGGCAACGTATCCCCAGAACAGACGAATTCCATGAGATTTGCTGTAGATCCTAGTCGAGCCTAGTCGAGCCTACTCTCCCCAGAGAATGAATCCTTACTTGATTGGTTCTCTAACAAATATAATCCTGATTTGAATGACCTGATAGTCTTTCAGTGGTGTTGCGTACTGATAAGGCTCCTTGAACAGAAGAAGACAACGAATCCAGAGCCATGCTAACGGCTCAGTTAGGTCATAATGCTTATTATGAAGACAAAACAAACTGTTGGAGAGAACCAACGAATTATTGCACAATTTGGAAATTTGGAAACAAGGATTGCATTAGATGAAAGTTCAGGGGATCACCAAGCTCAGAAAGACCATGAATGTCTGCACCAAATGCATGCCAATCCATAGTTCACTAAAAATCCACAATGATAATGTCATGGTGGCACTAGAGGAATATATCTGTAAATGTCCCCGCTGCGGGTACTAATAAAGGATTATCGTATCTTATCAGGGCCAAAGTCTGGAGACTTCCCTGAAGGTCATGGATGCCTGGACAAACTTTAATGGCAATCCATCCAGGGGTTGTTGAGATATATCAGTTTGGACCAAAGTTGAAGCTGACTGATGACTGACATTGCCATCCCTTGAGCCTCCAGCGTGTCTAATACAAATTGTATGTCGCTTGTTCCAACCAACAGTTTTATATCGAGGGTAGTATATTGCAGCCTCTTGGGGTGCCCGTGGGGCTTTACAACTGGCCCAAGTGGGGAATCATCATGTTTGTTCACACAGAAAATCTCACACAGTGCTGATGAACGTTTCATGAAGGGGAATGATAATCTATCTTGTACAAAATGGTAACAATAAGGACCTGACCTTTTGTTGAGGATCTTTAGGTATATGTAAATGCAATTATATTTAAGCCAGCACAAATTGAGTGCAGTGATGCCTATACGAGCTCTCACTGAAAAGCTCAACCACCCTGCAAGAGTTTTATAAGTAAGGGCAACTGAGGAAATTGGGATATCTAGAGAGCATACATCTGCAGGTTCCCTATTACAGGTTTGCCAACATTGATCCAAGGACCCTCTTAGGATCTGTATCCAGTAGAAAAATGTGTATTCTCCAATACTATTAATCATCTGCTAAACCCTGAATGATACAGTATTTAATTATTTTTTATGGCCACCATTGAATCCAGCATTTTTTTGTAATTACATTGTAAATACATGTATTTGCTAGTGAAAATATGATAAAGAAATGAATGTATAGGCCTAACATATTGTCAGGACATTCAGATTTATTGAAATGTTTGTAACACAACATAATGTTTTATATGTAGCTTTTGTTTTCGTCTTACTGTGTTTTCTTATGTATTATAGCCTCATTTATATCTGATATATGTCTTTGGACCAGGGCCCTTATAAATAAACTGTTCTGTAAACCATTTGTGACAGAAGCCAATGGGCGAGTCTTTCTTTGCAAAAATAATATAAAAAGGCCAAAATCAGGCTAATCTATACCAGTTCTCCTTTGTATAAACCTTATACAAACACTTGTAAAACGTGTGTTTGTGTAACCCTTTTCTCGAGTTATTTAAATGAATCTATCACAGAGGAGCTGTTCGTTTATCCGTATTTTGTCAGTAATCCAAAATCACGTTTATGAGTATCATCCAATTATTCGGCAATCATTTAAATATGTATGACCATGAATTCTATTTTATAATCGACGTAATGTGGTAGGTGTGTATGATAGGCTGCAAAGCTGCCAGCTGAAGGGAAACCATTGCCAGTACAAAAGCGTCTCAGTGCACGTCCTACTTGTGTCGCTCTACAGCAGGGCGATTCTGCGCGTTCCCGTGACTCGCCATAGAAAACAAAGCTTGAACGTCTCCCACAACAGCGAGGGGTGCAGACTTGAGGACTATCTGAATTTATTCTGGATACATCATGCTGGATATGGATCTACAGTGGGTGTAGCATTGTTGGAGACCGAGCCTTCACGGCCGGGGTTGACGGCAGGACATTAGCGAAAACGGACGAAAATAACATCAGTGGTTTTTTTTTCTCGGGGTGCTTTGTCTTGTCCACCTAACGATAGCAAACCATCATTCAAGATATCCAGCTAGTGACTACTAGCTGCCGCCGGGATGTATCGTCATGTTGTCACCTTAAAGTAGCTGCTAGGACTGTTGGATTGTGAAGGATACGCAGAAAACCTCTCCGAGGTCCCATCGGGTTGTCACCGGGACCTGAATCTGTGTTGGCCACAGTCGCGGAACCCACTGTTTTCGGCGATATGGCGGAGCAGGGCTACACATCTTGGTGAGTGCGCACAGGCATCGCGCTACCGATTAGTAGTACCGCTGGCTACCGTACGCTAGCTGCTGCCTGGTGATATAGGTCACTAAACCAACGCACTATATTCATGACAAGTCGCGGAAATACTCTCCACACAGACTCCTTCTGATGCATGTATCACCGTGGAGCGTGTAAAATGCCACTAATCCCATTCCCCCCCTGCAGCTCTGATATTGCTAACAGGCTGGTTAGCTAGCCGCGGCTAATCAGCTGCACCAGCTTACGCTATGCTAGCGCTACCTAGCTTCGGTTGGAACGGTGCTATTGTGAGCGAGTGCTACGGAGCTAGCTGCCTAGCTAACGTGTTAAGCTCACTCAGGTTAGCCAGCTGGTGAATGACTCGTTCGCTAACATCATCAGCGCTTGTTGTCTCAAAGTTGTAATGACACTGCAGGACAGTGTCAAATCGATTATTGAACATTAGCTGTGCCGGCAAATTAGTGTTAGCTGATTAGATGGCTAGCATTCGTCGTCGATCCGCTGTACACAATAACAAAGGTTCTGCCGTTGAGCTAAAGCTAGCTAACTGGCATCGCAGTCATGTCCCCCAAAAATACTATTTCAGGGTGAGGTTGGCATTGTGACACACGACAGGTTGTCCAAAAATAAACATGCGGAAACGTGAGGTATACAGACTATAAACAAGGTGAACGTTATAGCAGAATTTAAGTGCTTGGTGAGGAATAGATGAAGACAGACATGATGTGATCACTGAAATGCGTTGCCCCATGAATGAATATGTCCTGACTTTGGTGAGGCCTAGTTAATAAAATAGGATAAATTATGCTTGTTTGATCCCAGCAACACGGGTTGAATGTTAGCACAATGCTTAGAGCAGCAGCTTCTTATGTGTGTCTGGTCCAAACCAATACCTCTCCAACAGCAGACCAGGTTCATTGAATGGTAGAGGTGCACATAAATGCTTGTTTACTTAAATCTCATTTATTGTCACATTGTGATTACTTCCTGGAAATGTCTTTTAAGACTTTTATATTTTGACAAATTTATACTGGCTTTTTGTCATTGTAGTTTTCATAAAAAATCCTGTTTGCACTGTTGGGGAAATTGATTACAGGAGAAAAATGCCCAACCACTGCTGAATTTTCAATATGATGTAATATTAGGCCAGCAATTTCTCGTTAACAGACTACATTTATTGTAAGCGTGAATGCAAAGTGGTAGCAGTAGTTTTGGAAAATACCATCTTCTGGGTTTACATCTCCCCCTTTCTGCATTAATGTTAAGTTAGTAATAACTAATAATAGTTAATTAACTAATAAATTAGTTTATTTGCCAATAACGTGATGAAAATCCAATTTTACATGTTTGCCTAAGACGGCGTTAATTTAATATAGATTTGATGTTGTAGGTTTTCATTGGAAAAGTTTGCATGGAGTGCTTCTTTACAGTTATGAATTGTAACAGATATTTTTTGATGATGATGATCAGAGAACAAAGACACAAACAATGACAATCTATTGTGTGAGAAATGGCATAAATGTCACTGAAGAACTGTGGAGATCGGGGTGTATTTGTGTGGTCATACACACCTAAATGTCATAGAATTTCAATTTCCAGGTCTGGAGAAGTTTTGGAAAAATAAATGAACCCAGAATTTTTGGAAAAGTCATGGAAATTGACTTTGCAAAAACCTGTATACTATACTGTGGTGCAGATATGGTCAACTGAGAACAATCTATGCCGGTTGAACTAGTACTTAAATGTTTAAATTAGATGTTGCGTTGTTCTCTGTGCGGGCTAACGTCAGACTCTGACATGTTCTAGTTTGTCATGTATGAACAGAGAATTCAGAGAATGTATAGTCACTCAAATTTGCCTCAAAGGCATGGAAAGGTCTTAGTAAAATGTATTGGTAAAAATGTGTATGAACCCTGAGAGATGAGTAAAGGTGGCAAAACAGCTAAAGCTAAATGCTTGAAATTAGTTTTTTGCAGTGTAACTAAACTGATAAGTCACACTTGCTTTCAGCAAACAACTATAGCTATGTGAAGATACAGTGGAGTAATGTCTACCTGAGCATTACTCCACAATATCTTCACATAGCTATAATGAAGTCACTCTTGCGTGTCTTCTTCTCCTTGCTTTGTTGACATAGGCGGGCCGGCCGTACATGCATTTTAGCGCCTGTTCATGCATGCGAGCGTGCCCCCACTAGCTAGCTTTTCACTGCTCTCATTCGGCGATTACACCCAATTGCGCCGTCCCGGCCGACATTGTTGTTGTAAAAGTGTAGTACCCACCCTGAGGTTCCCCCTCAGGTAAACACTGTTCGCTCTGTCAGCACTTTTGTCATAGTTTGTCCATGTTGGGAGCCATGATCTACCGTCAAGACTGCCAAAGCTGCACATCTTCAAATCGTGTCGTTCTCATATCTTATCGTTAGGTAGGAGATAAAAGTGTATTTGCCGTGGTCATATTTGCGGTTTAAAAACGTTAATGCCGTTGCACTTGTTTATTTAACCGTGCCATAACATCTAACTTCATCACTTCTTACATTACCTGTTCAGTAGGTGGTCTTTTACTTCAGACCAGTGAGGGGAAATAACTTTCAGTTACATGATGCTCTGCTTTGTTGTTCCTGTTTTTAAATGAACAGATGGCAGCTTCATATCGAGCTCACCTAGTTGCACAAATCAAGCTGTAAGTAAGTCGTCTGGAAATTTTACCTCTGCCAGTTGTGTCTGTTGTTGTTGCACATCTTTGAGCCTTTGAACGCAACCCCGTGCTCCCATCGCCTTGGAAGCAGACAACGTACAAACGCCCAATAATGCATTTTTGAAACCATTATATTAAGATCATGGACATAAATAATGTAATTTGTTGTACTAGTGATGCTTGACTAAAGCAGGTTTTTAGAAGATACAGACCTCTCTGACATTGCTTGTGCAGACATTTGAATTGGATGCTGTGCTTGGCTGAATTTGCACAATTATTTATATATATATTCATCAATCACTGCCTGGATGAACTGCTGATAAGTAAACCGAGGCGTCCCCTGTTAAGGCTTGTGGTTTTGTAGGCGTTTTTTTTTTTTTTCTTTTTGAGAGCTTGCAAGTTGTAGTTTGATGACATGTTCAATCAGCCTTCGTGGCTTTCTTGCAGCTTGCTTCAATCCAAACCATCAGTAGGTGGCTTTATGCAACAAACGCGCTACTAGATCTATTCAGTAATGGAATTTTCTCCTTGTTTCGCTTCCTCATTTTGCAGCATGTCAAGTACCTCATGTACGTAAGAGCAGACCTACGCAGTTCTCTTATAGTGTTTGGTTTTACTTGTCCATCAAGGCGAATGCAGTGTGCCACTCTTCTTTGTGTTTTGTATCTGGGAAACATTGATCAGTCTCTGCACTTGTTGGTGCCATCCCATGAAAGCCTTTAATCTGTTCAGGAGGAAGAAGAAATGATCTTAAATAAACCATTATGTTTGGCCTGAACATTTCATTAACAGCTTTTGCTGCAATTGTGACAAAGGTGAATATGATGCGATGCTGTGTTCAATGTCGGGTGTCTGAAAAACATAGACATGTTCGCACATGTTTGTTGTTAAAGTAGCAGACAACACTTCTTTGTAACACAACGGTAAACAAAGGCACCCAGCTTGCCTTACGCTCTTGATTCAGTAAATGAGACAAAAGGGGGAAAAAATCCGTGATATAGTGACACCACTCTGCCCACACTATCAGGTGTAATATCCAGTATGAACAACCACATCAATCAAACTGAAAGTTTCAAATCCTGCCTGGAAATATGTGCAGTGTTTCCGACAAATCAAGTTGGTTGATCTTGGCTGAATGTAGTTATAATGTTGGTCATGAGCATGTCTGAAAAATATTGACGAATACCCACAAGAAGAAGCTGTAATTGTACTTGATAAATGACTTTCAGTGGTTGATTGTTTATCAGCTAATTGATTGGTTTAGCACTTGCGGCACACAGTTAATTCTGTGGGATTGTATGGGCGAGTGATTTGTAAGCGTTGCTGTCCATGTGTGGAGAAAATCCTTCGACGTTCAGTAACCACGTTACCCACCAACCTCCTCACTGCAGCTTGTTTTACTGCCTCGCACAATGTTTTAAAAGCTTCTTGCAAGTGTGCAATGTTATTATCGAATGTGTCGATATATTTGCCATCGACAACGATTGTTTCATCTGCAATCCCACACACAGCCCTGTATCAGCGATGGGGGAGTTTTAGAGAGGGATGCTGCCTGACATTAGTCAGTGCTGTTATTTACCTCGGACTACATACAAACCGATAACATGGCGTCGTCCCCGTCTGTGTAGCCGCTTCGTTAGTGTGAAACCAACAGTTTCTGAGGGTTGGTCAGAAATGTAATTTTGTTTTGTACTGATATCAAATAATATAAACATGCTATCATAAACATATTAACTGAGACTACATTGTCTTTTTTATTAAGGAATTTAGGAAAAATACTTCCTCAAGAAACATAGTTATTAAGATCTTATCCCCAAATCCTATTATCAAGGCTATCCCCGGTACAATCTAGTCCAAGCTCTGCCTTTCTAGACAAAGGAGGTGACGTTGAACTTAAAAATATTGACTTCAGCACATTTCAACTTTAACAGAAACATCTATTGTAAATGAGCGTCGGCTGCCTTTTTAAATGAGAATCTGTGGTACACCAAAAAAAAAAGACAAATGGCAGCAAGCACTGTTTAGTTCTTCTCTACAGTATATTTTAACTATACAGACACAACTAATGCTGCTGTGTTCTGCTGAGAGCACACATCGCTCTGTTTGAATCTTGACAGATTACTGAACACCTGTTGCCTGCATCTTGGAACAGAAGCTCCGCTTAAGATTAGCCATCAGAATTTCAAAGCCTAAATAGTTTTGATTCGGACATACAGCGGGTCCAATGCATCTTGAATTCCGAGGCTCAGACTTCTCCTCATAGTGTCCACGTGGTCTGAAAAACAATT